CTGATTCTGACTGAGATTTTGACACTTAAACAAACATATCTCAGCCTAACCGAACAACCGCATTGTGCGAGATGCGTAATACTAAAACTAATCTTGTTAAAGAGGGCGCACTCTATTGACTGTATAAAGTATACATAAAAGCGAGAGTATTCCAGTGGATGCGATCTACAACCTCTGAATTTGCCTAGTAACGATGAATTCGTCGAGAAAATGGTAATATTTTATGAGAAATAGTATTTTAAGAGAAATAGTCTGTATTTCTCATTTTTTTTATTCTTTTGCGTAAAACTAAAATTCATGCCAATATTTTTCCATGATTTATAATAATTGGAGTAATGCAAATGCATATTTTCTATAAAAAAAAGTCAGTTTAGTGAAACTTTGCCGGGAATGGGGCTTTAAAACATAAAAGTATATACAGGCTTTACATTCTCAAAATATATGCAATTTAGTAAATATTACTGTACATTATATAAAGCATAAACAATTGAACAATTAAAATGTATTCAAAAGCACACAAACTCAACATACTAGAGGCCAGCAGGTTTACTGTATTTAGAATTTTAAGATGACTATAAATGCAATTGCATAAATGATTTATACAAAGGAAGAATAATACATTTAATATACTGTATTAAAAACTTTCTGTTGATATTGTGTGCTGTATTTCGGATTTAAATCAATCATGATAATGTTAAATGGAAGGATTATTTATTTAAACATTTCTTATAAGGAAGCTTAATACTGTATATTTAATATATAATAATTAAAAACAATGTTTTTATTAATATTTACAAATGATTTACAGTAGGCCTATTTAAATTCTTTATAAAAACCATATTCATTATAATAAATTACATTAACAAAAGTTGCTGTATAAAACACAAACACAAACAATTGTATACAAAATATAGGCCTAGGTGTACAAAACAGATAACAAACCACATATAACAGTTATCCACTATATAACATTCAACAGATTAAAAATATTAACTGCATAAGCCTAGGCCTAGATCAAAATGACAAACACTTCACGTATCGTCTTTCTTAACCTGTCAAAGTGCCGTCTATGGAGTGCGATATCGCTCTGTATTCGGTTCCTAAACTGCAGTTCAATTAGAAATTTACTGCAGCGAGTTCTCTGTCCTCTAATTGGTCAAAATATGCATGGAGGGCGCTAAACTCGCAGCGGTAACTTAAACTCACTGCAGTAAATTTTTTTCTGCTCTGTGATTGGTTGGAATTTGTTGCCAAGAATCTTGCTGCAGAAAGTTTAATATACCACCCAAATGCTTTACTATGATGTAGTTGATTCGTCGATGAATTAAATACTATACCACCATGCATGAAGAGTATTTTAACGTATAAATGTATCACACTTGCATTTTACACCCCAAGATTCAAGATGGCATTTATTGTCATATACGAACATTAATTCTTCACCCATCAGCAAGAATACGATAGTCAGGCGAAGGCCTATATTATTGTTACTACTGGTGTGATTGTTAGTAAATTTTCAGCCAAGTAGAAAGCATACATATACTGTATATATATATATATATATATCTAGTCCAGATTTCCGCGACAATCTCACAAAAAATGAGAGGCAGGCCATCGCCAATTTGCGTCAGCGTGATGATATTATCATCAAACCAGCTGATAAAGGCTCTGCCACTGTCGTAATGGACATTAA